AAAAAAAAAAAGGAAAAAGGTCATTAAAAAGACAGGAAAGGAAGAAAAGACCAAAATGGATGTCAGAAGAGACTCTGAAACTTGTTCTTGAATGGAGAGTAGCTAAAGCAAATGGAAGAAATGACAAGATAAAAAATATGAACAGAAGATTTCAAAGAGCAGCTCTAGAAGACAAAGACAATCATTATAATGAAATGTGCAAAGACCTGGAGTTAGAAAACCAAAAAGGAAGAACATGCTCAGCATTTTCTGAAGCTGAAAGAACTGAAGAAAAAATTCAAGCCTTGAGTTGCAATACTGAAAGATTCTATGGGTAAAATAATGAATGATGCAGGAAGCATCAAAAGAAGATGGAAGGAATACACAGAGTCACTGTAGAAAAAAGAATTGATACATGTTCACCCATTTCGGGAGGTGGTATATGATCAAGAACCAATGATACTAAAGGAAGAAGTCAAAGCTGCACTGAAGGAACCGGTGAAAAACAAGGCTCCAGTAATTGATGGACCCATTGAGATGTTTAACAAACAGATGCTGTGCAGAGGCAGTTACTCGTCTATGCCCCCAAATTTGGAAGATGGCTACCTAGCCAACTAACTGTGAGAGATCCATATTTATACCTATTCCAAAGAAAGGTGATCCCAGAGAACATAGACATTAGCAAACAGTATCATTAATATCACATTCAAGTAAAATCTTGCTGGAGAATTCAAAAATGGTGCAGCAGTATACTGACAGGGAACTTCCAGAAATGCAAGCTAGATTCAGAAGAGGATGTGGAATGAGGACTATCATTGCTGATGTCAGATGGATCTTGGCTCAAAGTAAAGAATACCAGAAAGATGTTTACTTGTGTTTTATTGACCATACAAAAGTATTTGATTATGTGGATCATAACAAATTACGGGTAACATTAAGAATGGAAATTCCAGAACACTTAGTTGTGCTCATGAGGAAACTATACATAGACCAGGAAGCTGTTATTTGAATAGAACACAGGGATACTGCATGGTTCAAAATCAGGAAGGAGTGTGTCAGGGTTGTACCCTTTCATCATACTTATTCAATCTGTATACTGAGTAAATAATCCAAAAAGCTAAAACATATGAAGAATGCGGCATCAAGATTGGAGGAAGACTTATTAAAACTTGCGATATGCAGACGACACAACCTTGCTTGCTGAAAGTGAAGATGATTTGAAGCACTGACTGATGAAGATTAAAGACTACAGCCTGTAGTATGCATTACATCTCAACATAAAGAAAAGAACAATTCTCACAACTGGACCAATATGCAGCATCTCGATAAATGGAGAAAAGATTGAAGTTGTCAAATATTTCATATTACTTGGTTCCACAATCAAAAAGGGCAGGAGCAGTCAAGAAATCAGACGACATCTTGCACTGGGCAAATCTATTGCAAAAGATCTCTTTAAAGTGTTGAAGAGCCAAGATGTCACTTTGAAGACTAAGGTACACTCAATCCAAGCCATCACGTTTTCAATTGCCTCATATGCATGTGAAAGTTGGACAACGAATAAGGAAGACTGAAGAAGAATTGATGCTGAAAGTACCATGGACTGCTAAAAGAACTAACAATCTGTCCTGGAAGAAGCGCAGCTGGAATGCTCCTTGGAAGACAGAATGGCCAGACTTCATCTCACCTATTTGGTCTTGTCAGAAGGGATCATTCTCTGGAGAAGGATATCATGCTTGGTAAAGTGGAGGGTCAGCAAAAAAGGGGAAGGGCCTCAATGAGATGCAACAATGGGCTCAGGTATAGCAAAAATTGTGAGGTTGGCAGAGTGTTTCATTCTGTTGGCTATGAGTCAGCCTTGTGTCGACGGCACCTAACAATAATGACCTTCATTCAAGAAACAAGGAAGGAAACATAAAAATATTAAGTAAATCACTCTAAGAAAAAATATTCCAACTAAAAGGTAGTGTTTATTCCTTTAATAAAGTATATTTTAAGAGTAAATCTATCAAATTCTACACAGCTGCAAAGAAAATTAATGCCAGAAATGTTGCT